TGCAGTTTTAATAGGCCCTTCTGAGACTTGCCAGGGATCAAAAGAGTTTCAGGGCAAGGAGCAGGCTGGTCTCCAAAGATGAGCTACCATAATTTCCAGTAAGCCCAGCACTTCTGACTGTGAAGCAGGAGAGTGCTAACCTTGTCACAGGTAATTATCTCCGATCTGGTCTGCAACCCAGGAGCAGGTCACCGAGCTGCACCCCCTGCCCCATGCAGTGCACTGGTTAGAGCAGCATTTGTGGGTGTCATAAAATGCTTACACTTCTGCTCTGCCCTACAGAGCTTAGCCTTACAGACACAGCTGGAGTGTTTTCACAGTCCTGCAGAGACCTCTGAACACAGCCCCTGCTCAGAAAAAAAAATGAATCACCATCAGGAGCTGCCCATCTCTCCCAGTTGTAGACAGAACCTATACAACTTTCAATTAACATATTTTTCCTTTTTTTACATCTGAAAAGACAGAGTGAGATTAATTTTTAAGTATAAGCATTAAGCTGAAGAGGCTGAATACACTAGGGCTCAACCTGCTGTAATAAAACCTGAAGAAAACGAATAATCAGGGAGGAATAAGTAGCTGTTTAAGTTCTCATTGCTGCCAAAGAACTATCAGCTAGGGAGGATAGGTTAAACGTCCTGTTGGTATTTGTTTTATACTTAGGAAAACAAATTCGCTACTATTTAACAAAAAGGCCAGTAAGTCCTTTACTAATTGTTCTGTTCAAGAACCACAGGGACAAGTAGTCTGTTCAAGTCAAACATCTGATAGATTTCAAGTGACAAAACCTGTGAATTCAAGGAAACAGAAGTTATTTTACAACAATGGCTTTGAAAAATGCAGCTTTCTTCCATTTTCTTTCCCTTCTCCAGTGATGGAATTACCAACACCTAACTGAAGACATAATTTTTGATTTGGAACTAACTCTTGTTGGATTTAGCAACACGTTAGGAGAAAAGATGGCTTAAAATGACAAAGTATATCAGCTACATTATAGCTGACTTTTAAAATCACACTCCTAAACCCAAGGAGGAGGGTCATCAGGAAGAATAGGGCAGAGAGATCCTTTAGGATGACTTCTTGGGACACAAATACAAGTCCAGATGATCCCAGAGGGAGATTTGATGGAAGATTATGAGCAGGTCCCATTAGGGAGGTCATAGCACACCAGGATAGCCACAGTCCCCAGATAGCCATGGAGCCAGGGAACAGGCATTTCTGGACAAGGTCTGATGAATCTTATTTACTAGGAACTATCAGCTAATGGAAATCCTGTAATATCTTTTCATGAAGGAGAAGGTGACTCAGTGTAATAGCTATCTTTTGTGTCACATATATGTGTTCTGGGGGGAGTGGCAGGAGTGAGGGGAAAGACAGATTTTTTTATCATCATTCTTTGTGCCATTGTATTTCCCTTTCGGTTTAATCAGAGTTTCACCTCCTCATAGAATTTAGCTTTGCTGCTGTCCTGCAGAAAAGCATTGGTAGGTCATAGGTAGTCCATTTTTCACAGTCACCATCAGATGAAAATGTCCTACAGTTGCTTAGAACTGGGATCTTTATCAATAATTGCTATTCTCCAATTTGTTACACCACTGATTTAATTTTCCTTTTATCCAGCATCATCCAACTATTCAAGAACTGACTGTCCTTCATACAACCTTGACTTCTTCCAATACTTACTAATCCACTGAGCTGAAGAAAAGAACCAAAGCAGACAGCAAATGGTGGGATAGCATTCACCTCCTTTATTATCCTCACTTCTAGATCAAAAGTTTCCTCATTCCTGTTTTCATTATTAATTACAAGCAAGGGTGAGTCAGAAATTAAATCAATTTCCATGAAGATGTATGGTCCATGACTGCAAGATCCTGCTTACTCATAGTTAGAATTAGAGTTAACCTCCTGGATTTGACTGTGCCTGTGTTCAAGCAGAAGTACGGTCCTATACCTCCTGAGGGAGGATACAACTTAAGTCTCTTGCATGCAATGCCATATTTCACATAAATGGCCTTATACATGTATGTACCCACCCTAGATTTAGACAAGGCAAGCCTCACACTGAGCAGGAGAACAGACAGATACTTACTCCAAGATTTCTGTCAAGAAGTTGCCACTCTCACATTCCCAGCTGCTTTCCTTTCCTGTGTGTGTGACCACTCTTGCCACAAAACACTTCATGCCTTTTTACTTTCTGGGCAAAAGGCTGATCACTGGCTAGTGTCTTTGCATGAACTGACAAGTCAGCCAGCTAAAACAGATTTTACTTTCTCAAAAGGGGTATTTATTTTTGTTTGTCTTCTTTCCACAGCTGCCAGTTTTATTTATCCTTGAAGACTTTACTTCACCGTCAAATGTAGCTGCCTTTGTAAGATGCAGTTATATTCAATATACATAATATACATAAATGTGAACAGAGCCAGAATTATCAATTTTTCCAACACCAGCCACATATCACACACAACCTCAGTCTCTCCTACCTCCATAATTTTTTGGAAGCTATCTCCCTGTAAACATCAGGATTGCAGACATCAGAAGGGACTCAAAGACCACAGGCTACAGGTTCAGCCTGCTTCAGTCTTACAAAGGTAGGGAACAGAACATCTCCAGATATCCAAGACACATGAACATGAAGAAGCCAGACATTATGAAATACTGCACAGAGTTTTCCTACAAAAATACATGTTTTTTTCTTGTTCTTTTAATTCAATTACTTTCCCAAGACACGGAAAAAAGGATTACCAAAGTGTTGGAGAGCCGTCAGAGAGGTTCAGAACTAAATCCCCAAGTATGGGTAAAAATACAAAAAAATGACCATCAAAGAGGCAGCATCCCCCTTACTGTCCCTCACACTCCCAAGGAAATGTTGGCATACTGCTGAAGTGCCATTTTAGCACACCATATTTCAACTGGTTTTCTCGCAGAAAATGTCATCTTTAAAGCACTAAAAAGTGCAAAACTTGGCACACACAATAAAAACCATACAGGCACCTCTTCTTCTCCTCTGAGAAAGGCAGCTCAGTAAAATCCTGCCATAACAAGCAGTAAATAAAATATTTTACTTTCAAATACTTCCTCACCAAGTACCCACAACATAGATAAAACAAACATAACAAAAGGGAACAAATTATCAAGTAACATTCCATCAGGGTGTTCATTGTACTTTTAACAAAAATATGGACAAAGGTAAATGGGTTATAGAAGCACATTCGGATTTTATCAGAACAATCTCTAGAATGCTACTTAATCCAAGACACCACGTTACAGTTCAGCACTGCCCTGTAATCCTGTGGAACAGCACTCACCTTATGTTTGGAATATCCATATTTAAAGAAGATTTTATTATGAAACATAGGTTTAAAAAATCAAAACATGTTTTTTTTTTCTTTTACCAGTGTCCCACATAGAGAGCTGAATTATTAATATTTAAAGAAGAGCCATGGATTTTGCTTTTTTGTTTGGTTTTTTTTGTGGGTTTTTTTGTTTGGTTTTTTTTTTTAATAGTATCTATATAACTTGCAGCTGGTAGTCTACAAAGAGAGATATTGTCTACATAGGATAGGACACATCCCTCAAAATACTAGCACTTTGGAGCTAAAACAGGTAGTACAGGAAATTGCTGTGGAAACCTGATGATAGTTTTGTTGTTTCAACACTTTGACTAGAATTTCAGCTACTAAAAATGGGAGGATAAGAAAGAGAACACTGATCTGGATTTTAAAGTTAATGGTGGTAACATCTTGCAGCTGAAAATGCACCGTGGACTGAGCTGGTAATCTTTTCTTGTCCTAAACCAAAGCAAACAAACAAAAAGGTTTCTCATTTACATGGTGATAGGACCATCTGCTGCCCAAGTAATAACCCAAAATAAAACAGTCCTCCACGTGCTACGCTGGCCGGAGCAGCATGCACACTGACATAATTCACCCACTGCAATGACAGAGGCTGCCTTACATAAGGGCCTGCCGTTCCTTTTTTAACTTTTTTTCCTTGCTGGCTATGCAGGTTTTTTTCAGTGCTTCCAAAGGCTGTTTTATTTTTCAGACTATCTATAACCAGAGACAATCTTGCAAGAAAAGTACAAGTCTTTAAGGCTAATGTTACAATCCAAGCTACTCATACAGAGAGAAAGGATTTTCAAAGCTTCGACTCATTTTAAATGACACTTACATTCATTTCTGCATTTTTTCTGCTGTAAGCAAATTAAGAACCTCAGTCTGCATTCCACTGAACCTCAGACCCCTTGTTAGTCAATGAACATCTGGAGTCCAAATGAATACTGAATTAATCATAGAATCATAGAATGGTTTAGGTTGGAATCCCCAAGGCTGGACAGCAAAACAGGTCAGGAACGATTCCTGTTACAGAAGTAACAGTGGAAATCTTGCAGCAGGTCAACTGAAACCTGGTTGCACTTCACTATTGGTTTTGTAACACATATTTTATTTTTAGACCGATTTCCCTTAACGAGCTCTTGCCCACAGCATAGCATCAGCATAGCTATAAATGCAATGACCTAAACAAACAAAGCCTAGAACAAGTAGGTCCATCCATACTCAGTAGCAGGACATTCCTAGGACATTCTTCTAACCAGATTCTTAGCACTCTTCCCAAGAGTCTTTGGAGGAGTTGATGGTACTCAGCTCCTGAGGCTTTTAAGCCTTTCCTTTTCCTTTCATTGGAAAAAAAAAGAAAGAAAAACATAGAAAAAAAAAGGAAAAAGGAAATAAACAAAGAAAGTCAACAATGCATACATGCTCTCCTGCACACATACACCCACATACAGAGAGAAAAAAAAGAAAAAGGAAAGCTGTATGAGGTGCCAATCTGGAATGAAATGGATTTTTGAACAGACAGTCATATTTGGCACGGTCAGCAAAAGCTTGTGGGTGGCCCTGTGTCTCTCCGAGCCTTAATGCCCTTTTCATATTGGTCATTTCAAAATGTCCCCCAGAAAGTTCAGCTGTGCTGCTTCTGACATGATTTTCACAATGCCACTGAATGGACCTGATGGAGATTCACTTCCCCCCACCCCAGCTCCATAAAGCACTGTACATTGAGGACATATTCCATTTGGCCTTCAAGTAGCATTTTTATGGTCCATGCAGATCCACGATTATTTTCCCTTTAGAAAGAATCAACAGAAAACAGAACTCTCTGTTGGAAAGCGTGGAAATTAAAAACTGTTGCATCTCTCAAACTGACTCCTATGATGCTTAGGCAGAAAACTCGATTAAAGGGTCCTCACATGGTTCTAGCTGCATTCTCAGTACACCATTTTTATGAAGAAACCAAAGCTGTAGAAATTCCTCTGGCATGGCATGGAATCCAGAATCTGGCAAGACATTGTCATAGTAATGATGGCTAATAAACTTCCCATGCAGGTCCACCGAGAATGGCCAGAAGCCATAAATTGTTACTTCTTCACACAGACCAAGGGCGGCACTGACTAGGAAAAGTCCCGTGGAAAGCCGTTTGGCATGGATACCTTTACTCTTCCAGAACTTGCCAATATCACGTAGGAAATTGGGGTTGGCGAAAAGGACTTCCTGCTTGGCATCGAAATCCTCCAGGGTGTAATAGACACGTAGGGAGGGTCCCGTCCCCGTCTTCATTGAGAAGGCTGGCATGTAGATGTAGCTGTGGTTATACACCTTCACGCTGTCCACAAATGCTTTTCGAGACCACAGCAGATTCTGGAACCTGCAAAACAACACAGAAAAACAAATTGGTCAAACATAGGTTTTTCCAGTTATTTCAAAACCCAGCTAAACACTACTCCTCATACACATATTTACAAGCCCAGAGAAAGTCCACACAAACTTCTGACTGTCTGACACTGCTTCTCTTCTAAAACCATAAACCTGAATAGACATTTGAAAACTACCTGGTATCCTGCAAACTCCAGAAACCAAAACATTTCTGATTTCATCTTTTAAAAAAACCCTGAATGAATATTGACAGTTTTTACTGAAAATCAATCCTTTTTAGTGACATTTTTCTTTTTGTCCAAAACCCAACTTATTTTTTCAGGCCCAGAAATCTTAAAAAGATATTTCAAATCTGTGCTGTTCTTGTTTCTTAAAGGCATAGTGAAAAAGAATCCAAGTTACATGCTGAACAAGCAATACCAATAAATACTTAAACAGAAACTCTGGAATGATAAAACCTGTATGACTTAAGAATTTTTTTGTTAAGCCTGTATAGCAATTTAGGTTGAGCTACCACAGTAGTTAATTCTTGCTTTGGATTTCTGAGAGAAATACTTCATTACAAACAATAAAACAGAAATAAATGATTAGTTCAGGCCAAGTAGCAGCACAAAAATTTAGCAACACGCACCAAACAATATTCAGAGCTGGTGTTTAAGATGGCATGATTTACACACTGAGTAGGTGAAAGAAGTTGGTATTTGTAGCACGCAATTAAAAAGAGAGACTAGTTGGCAACTATGAGGAGGTATATATATGTGTACAGATTATTTCTCTAATCTGATAGTCTTTCATCTCTTAATATAAAAATTACATCAGGTTACAATTTGTTAAATTGCCAATAGCTATTTGTTGATGTCCATTTTACCCCTGATGCTAGACATATACTGCTCCAAAACCAGTATTCTGTCAAGACCATATCCTTTCCCTGCCATATGCTTCCAGATATGCCAAGATGAATGACACATCTAGCAGAAAATCCTATGCCATTCACACCCACCAAAACCTGCACTGATGTTTGACCTGTCCTGACATTTGACACTAAACAAATCACATTTCAGTAAAATATTAAAGTACGCTAAATATGTAACCCTGGATGTAACTGATACAGAGGTCAGCCAGAGCAACAAGTAAAATCCAATACATAACCACAAACTTGCTGTCCCAGGGTGTTGACTACATTGGAGGACACCTTTGCATGAGAAAGTCACTATGATTTACTCTCGATAATCTGCTTTCTTTACAGAGTCCACATAATCTTCAGGGCATCAGTAAGTCCTCTCCACCTTTACCACGTGATGGTATATATAGACTTCAGCATGCAGGCAAAGTTTACTACATCAAAAGGCACTTCTGCACAAGCATCACATGCACTCCTTCCACTGCAGCTGGGTTGCTCTCTCACATGTGATCCCTAATTTTTTCTCAGCTCCCAAGTGCCCATCTTGCCCTTGTTGCTACCTCCTCTCTCCCAGTTTCCTGCAGTTAAGGCAAATGTGTCATGACTGATTTGTCATGCACCAGAGGAATCAGAACAAAAAACTTGAGACAGCAGCACTAGATTTTTTTGCACTTCTCTGGTGCAGGCAGAGAAAGCGTTATGAAGAGATCAATTTTGTGTGTAGAGCTCTTTGAAACAACAGCAAGAATCACACACTCAGCAAGACACACAGGTTTAAGTAGGATGCCAGACGACCTCAAGAAGCATCATACAAAATTTCAGCTGAAACAACTGCCAACAAAAAATACAGCTTCAACAGCACTGAAATGTCTCATGAATGTCAGGTTATTTGAAGTCTTTGTTTTAGCAGAAAACTTGAAGTTTTCCTAATAAGTTAAAGGCTTTGTTGACATTTTGAACATGAAATATTTAGTCTCCTGATTTGCTACAAGTTTCTTTCAAAATTTCATTCAAGTGGGATTAGAATAAAGCTGTTTTGAATTAACCCCCCCCCTGAAATCTGCCTGGGTCTTCATTACTGTTTTGCTCTACAGATCTTCTCCTACTGCATGGTGCTATTTGCTAATGCAGACAAAGTCACTGTCTTCCAAGCAAGAAATCAATTCAACCTGAACATACAAAACAGAACAATAAAAAACATTTCATAACATTGCATTTGGCATTCTTTTCTCTAGAAATAGTCCAAACACAGCTGAATATAGAAGGCCAGCCAAGACCAAGGTGCCCTGGCAGAAATTCATTGTCTAGCTGTACATTCTCTTATGGGCCCTCTCACTCCATTACTATCAGCCCTTTAACTGTTTCCCAAAACAGGCTTTACCATTCTCTCTTCCTAAGGAGCAGCAAGACAAACTGTTAGATTATCAGGTACAGGCGTTGGGTCCATCCTATCAAACTTGTTTCATTTCCATCAGGACACAGTCAGTGAGGGTAAAAAAAAAACCCCTAGCTTAATACTTTCAGTATTCACCTGGGCACTTGGAGTCTCAGTATCCAAAATCCATTTTAATAACCCTAATTGCTTATAAAAGGTAGAATAAGGCTAGCAGCAGGATTTCAGGCTATCACCTTCCCCATAACTTGGGACATCCCCCAGGAGGTAGGAGATGCAGGTTCAAACTTGCTTTAGTAGTAAGGGGAACTTGACCTCACAGCTTGGTGTGATGGGGTCCCTGCACTTTGGATGAAGGGAAGACAGGAACAGGTCCTCTGTCACCTCTGGAAGCCAGTTTCACCATGTCTTTTCCCACTTACAGCTAGTTAACAAATTTTATTTCAGATAGCAAGTAGATGTGGTTATTCTAAAACTGCATTTTTCAGCAAATTTACCATTCACAGAAAAGCACTGCACAGCTCTAATTGAATACATTAAAATTGCTGAGATACAGTCACAGAGGGCCAGGGACTGCCTCTGAATATTCATTTCCTACCATTGTCACAATGTATTTACATTTCTTCTAGATGAATCCTCCCAAATGCCTTAAAGTAACAAGAAGTAAATGGCACCACCACAAGAGTGGTGCATAGGAGGGACTTCACGCAGAAGGGACAGCATTTGTCATGTTACTGAGAACTGTCCTTCAGGAACATCACCTCCAGGAAAGCTGTGCCTCATTCAAATGACCTGGATGGCAGTGCTGGTTGGCATAATGCCCAGTTCAGCAGATGGACATTATACAGGTGGCCAGGAGCCCATGCAGAAGCATAAAACAGGCTGATTACGGCCACTCTGATGGCCGAATACAGCCAAAAAGTTGCTCCCTATCTTGCACTCCTTATGAGGGTAGAAGCAAATGAAATTTTTTGTTCTCCGTTTGTAAAAGTAGGAGCCCTGTCCAGCTCTCAGACATTTCACAGGCTGGTTAGAGGCTGAGAAATCTAGGGAGAAACGCTGTGCATCAGCAAGTTTCTAGAAATGGTACTGGAAGCTCAAGTATATTTTCCTTAAGCTGAGTCTTGCAGGCAGTCTCATTCCAGTCGTGACTTTGGGGGTACCATATCACATCCCTTCCAGTAGACAGCGAGGAGGCTACTCCATGCCTGACAGACAGACCAAGAGAGCTTTTCTTCTGCTGCTGACCATCTGTAGTGCACGTGTGAGCATGACGATACGGTTCCTTCCTGCTTGTCCTGGCATGACCACCAGCCTGGTGCAGTCCTCACATCCAAGTGGGCAGAAACACCTTTGCTCATGCCAATCTTCACGCAGCCTTCTTTGTATGAGGAGCTGCTGATTCCTAGTTAGTGCTTACTGACATGCTTTGAACATTCAGTACTCTCAGTGGCACAGGCCAGAAGCTGTGCAACTCCTCCTCACACACAAGGCTTCAAAAGAAACCCATCAAATGACCCAGTCCCTTGTGCAAGAATATCATGTCCCCAGCTCAGCTCTGAGCAAGAAACAGCTGAATGGCTTTTTCAGGGTTGTCCTCTGACCTTCTGCAGGCAAGCTCACACAAACATGTGGCGGGTTGCCAATATTTAGATGAAGCTGGAGCTGGAATCTCCTGATCCCTAAGCAGCACCTGAAGACTACAAGGGTTGCTCAGTAATTTGCAGTAATGCGTCACAGCAGCTTGACAGCAGCCCAGAGAGGCGGTGATGACAGTGCACACTGGTGAAAATAGATCACAGCATGTTTGGCCCAGGTGCTTTATTTCCACTACTCTCATTAATGGTCAGTGAGCAAACAAAATCATCAGCAACACAATTTGCTGACAGGTTCATATGACAGATCAACTTAAAAAGCACAACTTTCAACAGGCATGTGTAGGCACAGCTGCACAGATAAGAAAGAAAGAATTTCCTTGATACCAGCTGCAGAGTTCCCTCCAATGCTCTGCTTTTCCAAACAGAATGATGCATTCAAGAGAAAACTGCCACAGTACATTGTCATGACAGTACAATCAAAGGTGTAAGAGCATTAAGTGTTTTGCTTTTTGTTTTTAATCTGTTTTTAATGTTCTTATTGATGTTCTTTAGCAACTATTCAGAGACAGGACTGCTCTCTGGTACTAAGAGATGACTTCCAGTAGCCACAAAGAATCTGCTGCAATGACATTGAGCTAACCCACTTGCAGATAATAAGGGCAGCATTTTCTTGCGTCTTGGTTTCTTTTTGATCTCCCCGGAGAATCACTATCTTATGACTGTGATGATATTCCAGTCACTTACTGTGTTGGCATCTGCAAAGTCACAAGTTCAGCATTCTGGATTAATTGCAAGTTGACTTATTGAAAAGAAGAAATAAAAAAAGTTGAGTCATGAAGGGAACAGCTCAGATGCCAAGGAAATAGCGTGCTATTTTAAAATTAAGACAAATAGAGCTCAGGAGAATACAGTAGAAGGCATGTAAAGACTTATGTATTTGTCCCTATGGCAAAGGATAACCTTACAAAAATTATTTAGATAATTTGATGTCTGCATTAGCCAAAAATGATTTAGCAATTTGCTGCAGCTGTTGGAATATGCTTACAACTGGAGTCACAAGTCTGCTTGCAACCACACATCTGAACCTCTACCACAGTGACAGAGGAGAAAATGGACCCAAAGACAGCAAATCTTCCACTTAGACTCTCAGCAGAGACACTTGCTCCTGTCAGGGCACAACTGACTCCCAGACTCACTTTAGCTCATCCCTCACACACAGCCCACAGTATGCTGAGACCCCTCTTTCTTATGGACGGGGACTTGTGCTTTCCTCTCGTCTCTGGTCCCAAAGATTAAAGACAAATTAGCCTCATTCTTTTCATACAACTTTTCAATTCCCTTTTCCAGGTTAGGGATTCTGCTGCTACCACCAGCAGCTTCAAAGACTCAAAAGCATGGAAACACCCTCTTTCCACAGTGACTGCAGACTATGTCTTTCTCTGCCAGCCTGTTTCTTAATGACATATTGTTCTTAGCACATGACCTTCAGAATAATTTGATGCACTCAGAAAGTCCAGTTAGGCATTGCAGAGGTAGGCTCTAATCCGCATGAAGAGGTAGGCTCCTTTAATGACTGAATTTGGTATTAATCAGGGGGATTTTTAAAACCACCACTCATTACTTCTCTTATGCTCTAATCCTAGGAATACTATATATAGTGCCAAGGGAAAGCTGACTCTCTGTTTTTCAATGGAATGCAGAGCTATCCTATACACCAAAGCAATGAAACATTAAAATCGGTGTTCACTGGTATTTTGAGACTGTGTGTGATCCTTATTCTGCGAACTCAAATCAGAATGTGCTTTTAATAGCTACTCTTTCCAAAACCAAGAGAGCTAAACATCAATCCTTTCTGTCATCTGATAGCTTGACTCTTAGCCTTCAAAAGAGAAGCTTTTCATCTTAGTTTGACTCTTTGAAGATCGTGGCTGCTAAAGTCACACACAAGTGGAGATAATATAAAAGAATAGGCAGAACAGCACGGCTGTAAACTACTTGCATTGTCAAAATGAAATTTAGAAATTGTATTTTTAAATCTTCTGAATACATCCCAGCTCTTACAGCTGAAAGTCTGGAGGATGAGAAAATAGAGAACCAATGAAATCAGCTAGGAAAGAAACCAACACAGAACCAAGTCTGATATCTTTATTGCTTCAATTCATTGGACTGCATGCCAGAGCAAGACTGTGAGAAGAAACAACCACATCACACATTTTCTCAGGTTTTAATGGGAAAAAGAACTGCAACAAAACCCAGATACAATCTTCAGGAGATTTACTTCTGATTAACGTGGGTTCCCTAAGACAGTCTGCTGTGTCTTCGGGACAGCAACCAAACAG